TTTACACTTTTTTTTTTTTTTGAGTTGCAGTCTCACTCCGTTGCCCAGACTGGAGTGCAGTGGCACGCTCCCGGCTACCACAGCCTCGACTGCTGGGCTCCAGCGATCCTTCCGCCTCACCCTTCCAAGTAGCTGGAACTACAGGTGTGTGCTCTATACACCAATAATAAACAAACAGAAACCCAAATAAAAAGCGCAATTCCATTCACCATAGCCACACACAAAATGAAATACCGTCTTCCTAGACACTTGTATTTCTATACACCAACAATAAACAAACAGAAACCCAAATTAAAAAACACAATCCCATTCATAATAGCCAGAAAAAAAATCAAATACCTTGGCATCTTCCTAACCAGAGACGTGAAAGATCTTTACAATGAAAACTACACAACACTGCTCAAAGAAATCAAAGATGACACAAACAAATGGAAAAATGTTTCATGTTCATGAATTGGAAGAATCAACATTGTTAAGATGTCCATCCTACCCAAGGCAATTTACAGATTTAATGCAATACCCATTAAATTACCAGCAGCATTCTTCTCAGAACTGGGAGCGACAATACAGGAATTCATATGGAAACATAAACCACCATGAATCGCCAAAACAATCCTCAGCAAAAAAAAAAAAAAAGCAGGCAGTATCACACTCTCAAACTTTAAACTCTATTATAAAGCGACAATAATCAAGATAGCCTGGTATTGGCACAAGAACAGGCATATAAACCAGTGGAACAGGATAGAGACTCCAGAAGCAAAACCTCAGTTTCTCAACCAACTCATCTTTGACAAAGCCTCCACCACCAACTGGGGAGAGGAGAACCTATTCAGCAAATGGTGCTGGGAAAACTGGCTGACCACATGCAGAAGATTAAAACAAGGTCCCTACCTATCAGCATACACAAAGATCAACTCTAAATGGATCAACAAGCTATATGTGAAACCTCAAACTATAAGAACCTTAGAAAATATAGAAGACACCCTTATGGAAATTGGAACTGGCAGCCAATTTCTGGTTAAAACCCCAAGTGCCTATGCTATAAGAGATAAGATAGACAAGTGGGACCTCATCAAACTGACAAGCTTCTGCAAAGCCAAAGGAACCATCAAGAGTGTGAGAGATGGCCAACAACCTGGGAAAAAATATTTGCCAACTGTGTGTCTGACAAAGGCCTAACATCTAGGATCTACAAGGAAGTCACACATGCTGAAAAGACAAAAACAAACAGCCCCATTACAAAGTGGGCAAAAGATATGAATAGATACTTCACGAAAGAAGACATACAAACAGCCAACAGATACATGAAAAAATGCTCAGCCTCACTAGTCATCAAAGAAATGCAAATTAAAACTACACTGAGATACCACCTAACTCTAGTCAGGATGGCTATCATCAATAACTCAAAAAACAACAGATGCTGGAAAGGATGCAGTGAAAAGGGAAAACTTCTGCACCGTTTGTGGGAGTGTAAGCTAGTACAACCTCTGTGGAAAACAGTGTGATGATTCCTAAAAGATCTAAAAATCGACTTTCCATACGACCCCACAACCCCACTACTGGGAATATACCTGGAAGAACTCAAATCACTCTATAAAAAATATACCTGCACATGTATGTTTATCACAGCATTGTTCACAATAGCAAGAACATGGAACCAACCGTGCTGCCCAACAAAAGAGGACTGGATAAAAAAAAATATGGGACATATACACTATGGAATATTATGCAACCATAAAGAAGTATAAAGTTATGAACTTCACAGCAACCTGGATGAACTTAGAGTCTATAATATTGGGTGATCTTTCACAGAAACAAAGAACTGAGTATCACATGTTCTCACTTATAAGCAGACCTTGAGCAATTATCATAATACTATAAGACAAGGATTGGCAGTAGCAGGAAACTGCCAGGAGTGGGTGGGGAAGTGGGATTGGCAGTAGTGGGAGTCTGCCTGGAGAAGAGGGACCATACCTCATCAACAAGGGTACTTGTATAATGAACATTTGTATACTAACCCTGAATTCTACCCCACATCTTTAAAATTAAAAGTTAAAAAAAGAACCTACAAAAAAAGAAGAGAAAAAAATAAAAAACCCAAACAAGCAGAAGGAAGATAATAATAAAAATAAGAGCAGAAATTAGTAAAATTGAAAACAGAAAAATCAGTGAAACCATAGCTATTTGGAAAGATCAATAAAACTGACAAACCTCTATCAAGACTGACAAATAAATAGACACAAATTACTAACATGTGGAATAAAACGGAATATTGCTAAAGATCCTGAGGACATCAAAAAAGACAGTAGAAAACACTAGAAACACATACATCTGACAACTTACAGAAAATGGATCATTTCCTCAAAAACACACAGACTACTGAAACTCACTCAATACGAAATAGATACTTGAATATCTTCATAGCTATTAAGGACATTGAACTCATAACTTTAAGACTGTCAAGAAAGAAATCTCCTGGCCCAGGTGGTTTCCACAAGAGAACTTTACTAAACATTTAAGGAAGTAACACCAGTTCTATACAATTACCTCCAGAAAAGAAAAGAGTTTTCAGTTCATTGTTACTATGAGCCTGATATCAAAGCCGGAGGTAGACAGAACACAAAAGAAACACAGAATAAGATCCCTCATTAATATGAATTCAAATATCTAAATCAAATAAAATGTTAGCAAATATAATTCAGCTCTAAATAAAAATAATTATACACCATTACCAAGTATCTGTTTCAGGAATTCAAGGTTGGGTTAATATTTGAAAATCAATTGATGAAATCTCTCATAGTAGCGGGTTGAATAAGAAAAAGCATATAATCATTAATTAAAGGCACAAAAGCACTTGACAAAATTCAACACCATTCATGATGAAAAATTATTAGGAAAAAATATGAATAGCTGGACACTCACTCTTTCACTCAGTTACAAGACAGCACTGTCTTAATTGCTATAGCTATGAAAAATTTACTGAAATTGGATAGACTGGTTCCTCCTACTTTATCCTTCCTTTTCCAAATAGTTTTTGCCATTTTAGTGCCTTTGCATATGCGTTTTACAATAATCTTGTCTACATTTATAAAAAATATTGCTGGGATTTTGGTAGGAATTGTACTGATTCTTCAATACAACAGTGGAACTTAGTAGAAAACTAAGAAATAGATTCACACAAATATGCTCAACAAATTTTGACAAAAATGCAAAAGCAATTCACTAGAGAAAGGAGAACCTTTTCAGCAAATAGTGTTGAGATATTTACACATTCATAGGCAAAACAAAAAAAAAGAAAAGAAAAGAAACTTGACTTAACTCACATCTGATACAAAAATTAACTTAAAACGGATCATGGACGTAAATGCACAGCATAAAACTAAAACTTTTAGAAAAAATAGGAGGTAAACTTTGAGATCTAATGTTTGGCAGAGTTCTTAGACTTGACACCAAAAGCATGATTCATAAAAGGAAATATTAACAAATTGGACTTCATCGAAATAAAAATATTTGCTCTGTGAAAGACCCTTTTATGAGGCTAAAAAGACAAGCTACAAAATAGGAGAATATACTGGCACACCAAATAAACAAAAGACCAGTATCTAGATAAAATAACTCTTCAAATTCACAACAAGAAATTTTTAGAAAATGGGAAAAAGATATTAAGAGACATTTTACCAAGCAGAATATACAGAGGGCACAGAACCACATGAAAAAAATGTTCAACATCATTAGCCATTAGAGAAACGCAAATTAAATCCACAACAAAATAGCACCCATCAGAATGGTTAAAATAAAAAATAGTGACAATACCAAATGCCAGTGAGGATGCAGATAAACTGGTTCACTTACATATTGCTGGTGGGATTGTAAAATGGAACAGTCACTCTGAAAAACAGTTCAGCTGTTTCCTTAAAAACGAAATAGGTAACTACCTTATACACCAGCAATTGCTCTCCAGAGAAATGAGAATTTATATTCACACAAAAACCTATACACAAATGTTTATGCAGCTTTATTTGTAATAACCATAAACTGGAAACAATTCATATGAACTTCAGTGAAGGAATTATTAAACTGTGGTACATGCATGTTATGGTCTTAGCAATAAGGATTGAGCTACTGATACACAAAACAACCTGGATGAATCTCCAGACAAGTATGCGGAGTAAAAAAAGCTGATCCCAAAAGGTTATATACAGTAGGATTCCATTTACATAACATTCTTTATATCATGTTCTTGAAATAATAAAACTTGGGTAACAGATTAACGGCTGCCAGGAATTAAGGAGGAGCTAGGGAAGGAGGGGAGCACCATAACCGGCAACATGAGGGTGCTGTTCTGCATCTTGACTACATCAATGCAAATATCCTGATTGTGATATTGTGTTTCTGCAAGGTGTTACGTTTGAGGGAAACTGGGTGGAGAGTACAAGGAAGCTCTCTGTATTATGTCTTCCAAATGCATATAAGTTTCTAAGTATCTCAAAATTTAATAGTTTAATTAAAAATATTATCGAAAATCTATGATTAAAAATGAATTCTAAAAAAACCTGAGATTTTAATTGCCTACAATTAGTAATTTATGAAACCTCCATCTCTTGAGGAAAACTTCTCTCTCATATTGATCCTTTTACTGGTTATAGAAAAAACTCATAGTATGTATACTGAATCTATTTAATAGAATAAACAGAATAGATTTTTAGAGAAAAGTAGAATTATAGAGACCATCAAATTCAACTAGGCTCAGAGTGGCTATTATATCAGGAAAGCTGGGATTGGGGCAGATATCCAAATAAATATATCTTACAGGCATTTAAAAATACAGAACTGAAACAGTGCTGAAAAATCATGGTCAGAGTTGAAGATTTAGAAATGACAGTAAAAGTCTTGAGGATGAACTCACCAAGAGGAAAAAATATGATTTATGCTATGACAATAGTCCTAGGACTACAAAGTACATGTTGGACAAAAACTTACATATTTCATTTCTTTTCTAGACTTAAGCCAGCTACTTGCATAAATATTAAAAAATACAGACCACCTCGGATGCCATCCAGAAATCACTCTTTTATAATCAAAAGGAATCTTATGGCAACCTCTTCAGAATGGGTCCAGTCTATGCCACACCAATCACTTGAAAGTTTGTCACCTCTCAAAGGCCCCAAGAAGAAGAAGAAACATTCTCGAACATGGGCAATAAAGAATGAAGACACAAAACCTTTCAGCAGTAAATGGGAGACTACTTCAAGTTTTGAAATGGATGCAAATGTTATAAAAGATAAGCATCTTCAAGCTGAAGAATCCAACCTGCAACGCTCTAAGCATATAGCCCCCCATCTAACTAGAAATAAAGATGAACCAACCAAATAAGAATGATGGACAACCCACCTTCCACCTGGAGTTCCAAAGGAACAGTTAATCTATCTTTATGCTGCTCTGAAAAATACCAAATACTGGCATAGTAAAAAGAAAAAAAGGAAAGCCCTTTCCCTTCCCTAACCCTCCCCCTGAACATGCAAATGCTTGTACTAAATTACAAATTCTAGATAGCCCATCTTCTTTAATGGGAATATCTTTCAGAGATATACAAATAAATCCAGAGAAAATATTTTAAAAATTAAAACACTTAGATATTTATATTTAATTTTTGTCAACATGGAAAAAAAATCTCCAAACTTCTGATTTATCCCAAAATAACTTATGCATACAACATCATAAAACTAAAAACTCAAGGAAGGAATGACATATTCTGTGTCACTGATTTTAACCTCCCTGCTAGGAACTTTAACAAATCAGTCAACAAACATCATTTTCCAAACTTCCCATATATTTTTGGTGTGCTAGGAACCATTGCTGATATAAAAGACATTCCTCTTAACTAGAAGATTAACATATAATTGTACCCAAAAGATACATGAATAAAAATGATTACAGAAAAAGATCACACATAGTAAAGTGTTAAGTTGTGCACTTAACAACAATTAGATTAAATACTATATTTTAAAAGGTGCTAATTGTACAGAGCAAAAGTATGGCACAAAATGGCACTAAATGCATAGACTAAAGTTTAAAATAGTCATTTTATTTCTCAAAATTTAGCAAATGTGCAAAAGATTAGATGTACAGTTTCCTTTAAAGTGAATGGGTATACATCTCCAGTCATGGATTCATGCAGGCACTGGAACAAATCTAGACCTCACAGTTTGTCATGCATAAGGGGATGAACACTGGGAGAAATACCTGAAGGACTTGCAGGGAAACAGTCAAGATGGATGTGGTAAGTGAGAAAACAGAGTCCTAGATCAAGAGGGACATCTGTTATAGGATAAGGCTAAACAGAAAGAATTCGGGTAGGTAGGGTGCATTAAACATAGGGTTACAGTCTCATTACAGAAGGTGGAACTAGGAAGATCTGAGTTGGGTGGTCTATTCTAAACAATATTTTTAGCAATTCAAGAGTATCAAGGAAAGCCTATTGCAATGTTAAAAGAGTAATTATTATGAGCTATTTTATTTCATTTTAAATTTATTTATTTTTATTTATTTATTTTTGGTAGAGATGTCTTGTTATGTTGCCCAGGCTGATCTCGAATTACTGGGTTCAAGCGATCCTCCCCCTCAGGTTCCTGAAGTGCTGGGATTACAGGCGTGAGCCACTGTGTCCGGCAACTATTGTTTCAAAGAACCTTGACCACAGATGTCCTCAGGAGTCTTTAACCTCTCGTGGGAAATAGCTATCTTCTGAATAAATTAGATTGTGAGTTGGAGGCAAGTATCCTGGCCCTCAGAGGGTCCCTCAACTTTTTAGCCCCAAATTCAAATCCTCCGTGATTCTCTGGAGCAAGAGCAGAAGTCTCCTTCCACTTGAGATGCTCTCGGTCAGATAGGTGCTCAGGCTTGGAAAAGTAGGAGGATAATTTTCTGGATCATAACATTTATTGTAGCAAACACTACAATGGAATAAGGGCTCTCAAAATTCAGTTTTCCCTTATCCTCGTAGATCAGAACAAAAGTCTAAGCTCTGGGAAAATCTTGATTTTCAAGTCAGTGAAATATCATGTGAACCTTCAGTTGTCTGAGTTTAAAATTATAAATTCTGGAGTTTATTATCTTTGTCAATGGTCAAAACAAGGTGATAAACCAGTTTCCTGAAAGATTTAAGGGTACACAAAGGAGCATAATTGTTCTACCCAAAAGATACCTGCATTCATATGTTTGTTACAGCACTATTTACAATAGCAAAAATATGGAAACAGCCTAAGTGTTCAACAGTGGTGGATGGGATAAAGAAAATGTGGTTCATGTACACCATGAAATACTTTGCAGCAATAATAAAAATAATGAAATCATATTTTTTGCAGCAACATGAATTCAGCTGGAGGCCAGCATTCTAAATATCACAGAAACAGAAAAGTTAATACGGCATTGTTCTCAATTATAAGTATGAGCTAAATGTGGGACACAGATAGCCATAAGAATGGGAACAACATGCACTGAGGACTACTGAAGAGGAAAGGGAGGGAGGATAAGGACTGAGAAACCACCCATTAGACAGGCTCAATAGAAGCCCAAACCTCACCATCATGTGATATAGCTACCAAACCTGCATGTGTACCCCTTGAATGTAAAATAAAATAAAATAAAAATAAAGGTATACGGGTGCAGAGATATTGCTTAAACAATTTCACCTTGATCTTCACTCATAATTGCTCTCCTTGTATCTTATCATTTGACATAAATATCATATAAGATACTTTACCTAAAGTAGGAGGATCAGCAGGCCACTTCCCCACCCTGGATGTCATGCTCCAATACTTAACTTTTAGTTTTCTGAGCATGCCATGCTCTTTCATAAAGGCCATTCATTTTCTCTGTCTAGCATACTCTTCACCCAGTGGCAAGTTCTTACTCCCTTAAGATTCAATTCAAGTGCTACATTCTCTGACAAACCTTACATAGATCCTTCTAGGAATTTAAAACAACTATGATTAATATGCTGAGAGTTATCATGGGAAAAGTGGACAATATGCAAGAACAGATGGGCAATATGAACAGAGAGCTAGAAATTCTAGGAAACAAAAGGAAATGCTAGAAATCAAAAACATGTAACAGAATGAATGGTGAACTTTTCAATAGATTGGACACACAGAAGAAAGAGTCATTAACCTTGAAGCAATGTCAATAGAAACAGAAAACAAATGCAAAGAGGAAAAAGAATAAAAAATATAGAATATCGAATAACTACAGGACAATTACAAGAGGTATAATATATATGTAATGGGCACACCAGAAATAAAAGGAGAAAAGAGAACAGAAAAAATATTTGAAACAATAATGATGGAAAGTTTCCCAAAATTAATGACACCAAACCATAAGTCACAGAACACCAGGAAGGATAACTACCAAAAAATCTATACCTCAACCTATCATATTCAAACTGGAGAAAATCAAAGACCAAGAAAAAATCTTGTAAGAAGCCAGAGGGAAAAAACACCTTATGTGTAGATGAGCAAGAATAGAATTACATCAGACATCTAATCAGCAACTATGCAAGAAAGAGGAGAATGGAGTGAAATATTTGAAGTGTTAAAAGAACCAGTGCCTTAGCTTGGCCTATGGTAACAAAATATAAACTGGATTGCTTAAACAACAGAAATATATCTCTCACAGTTCTGAGGTTACCGAGTCCAAGATTAAGGATTCCAACAGATACAACATTTAGTGAGAGCACTCATCTTGGTTTACAGATGACCATCATCTTGTTGTATCCTCACAAGGCAGAGAATGGTCATCTCCTTTATGTCTCTTGTCATGACAGCACAAATATCATTCATGAGGACTCCGCCTTCATGACCTAACTTACCACTCAAAGATTCTATCTTCTAATACCACACTGGGAGTTAGGATAGCATCATATGAATTTGGAGGGACACATCATCAGTCCGTAATAAAGTCCATTATAACCACCAACCTTTAATTCTGTATCCAATGAAATTGTCTTTCAAACATTAAGGAAAAATGGACTTTTTCAGACAAAAGACATTGAGAGGATTTGTTGCCTGTAGAACTGCCTTTAGAAAAAGTTAAATTCTTAGAAGAAAAAGTATATAGGTCAGAAACTCTAGTCAACATAAAGAAAGGAAGAGTAATAGAAAAGGAATACATGAAGGTAAAATAAAACCTTGTATTTCTCTTAATTGGTTTAACAGATTACAGTTGGTTCAAAGTAATAATAGTAATAATGTATTCATAGCTTATGGACAAGAAAAATGAATAGCAGCAATGCTGTAAGGAATGGGAGGGAGGAATTGGGAATACCCGGTTATAAAATACTTGTGCTATCCTGGAAGTGAGTGTTATAGTGTAATTGGAAGGAGGACTTCTAGTCATTGTAAATGTATTCTGCAAATTCTAGGATTTAAAGAAAGTATAATTGATATACTAAAAGAGGAAAAAATGGAATCATATATAATATTCAAAATAATCAAAAAAGATGAGGTAGAATAGGAATAGAAGCCAAAATAATAAACAAAAAGCAAAGCAACAAATAGAAACAGTGACAATTAGGGTAGATATTAATCCAACCCTATCAATAATTACTTTAAAAGTCAGTGGTCTAGATACAGCAATTACAAGGCAGGAGACTATATGAATGAATAAAAAGACAAGATCCAATATGATCCAAATGTTGACGTATACGTTGTCAAGAAACCCATTTTAATATAAAGATATAGATTAAAATAAGCAGAGAAAGCTATATCACACTAGCACTAATAAAAGAAAACTGGAGTAGTTATATTACTTTTGTATAAAGCAGACTTCAGGACAAGAAAAATTATCAGAGATAAAGAGGGGTTAATTCCCAAGAAAGGTATAACAATCCTTAATGTATACGCATCTAACAACAGAGCATCAAAATATCTGAGTCAAACACTGAGAAAGAGATGAATCCATCTTATAAATGGTGGCTTCAATACCCTTCTGTCAGTAATTAACAGATCCAGCAGGCTATCCACATCTATGGAACACAGAACACCTCATTCAACAGCAAAATGCACCTTCTTCTCAAACTAACATGGAACATTCACAAGTATGGACCACATTCTGGGCCATAAAATGCAACTTAACAAATTTAAAAGAATAGGAATTATATAAAGTATACTCTCTGACAAAAATGGATTTAAACTGGAAATCAATAACAGAAAGATAACTGGAAAATCCCAAAATACTTGGAAATTGAACAACATACTTTTTTTTTTTATTTGGAGTCTCACTCTGCCACTCATGCTCACAGCCACTGCAGCCTCAGTCTGCTGGGCTCAGGTGATCCTTCTGCCTCAGCCTTCCAAGGAGCTGGAACTACAGGCATGCACCACCACACCCAGTTAACTTTTTTTATTTATTGTAGAGACGAGGTCTCACCAAGTTTCCCAGGCTGGTCTTGAACTCCTGAACTGAAGCAGTCCTCTCACCTCCACCTCCCAAAGTGCTATACACTTTTTTTACAATGTATAAAAAGAATTATGCAGTGCAACCAAATAGGATTTATTTCAGTTACACAAAGTGAGCTCAACGTTTCATCAATATAACTCATAAATCAACAGAATTAAGAATAAAAATCATTATCACATCAATAGATGCAGAGAAAATATTAGCTAAAATCTTACAACTATTCATGATTTAAAACTTAGAGCAGGGCTTCCAGGCAAGATGGTGATAGAACAGGTCAGAATGTATGTGTCTCCACAAAAGCAAGTGTCCATAAAGACACTGCATGAATAGACATGTACTGGTGGGTGAGTGAAAGTCCGTCTGATGGGAGACTCGGGTTCATGCACCTGGGGCTCTCCTCCAGAGGTGACTGCAACCCACCACCACCCTGAGATTGGAGACTCAGGCATGCAGAATCATCTGCCATTCTTGGGGCTCTCTTGAGAGGAG